CTTGTCCTAATTTGTCAACTTTCCTAAGCTGATCACCTCCAGGTGAGCCCTGTGTTCTTGCGAATGCGTCTCCACTGCCCAGATTAATCCAACTCAACCACCCTCGGTCATTCTGGGTGCGCATCCTCGTGCCCAGCAGTTCACACTCTTCGAATGGTCTAACCCAACTCAAGCCCTGCCTTCCCCACGAAGGAGCTTCTCTGCAGGCTGTGGAATTGGCGTGCTTACAGCAGCGTGGTTCAGGCCTCCAGCTCTCAGGCTTCGCTGTCCTGCATTGCTCTCATTTCCTATATCCCCCGGGGCTTCATATAGTCACTGCCCACCTAGCAGAGCAAGGACAAAGGTCAGCTGATGACCCTTACGTGACCACAGACAGCAGGTTTGTTTCTACCCACCTCACACCCCTTCACCCAGGACCCGGTGCTGGTGGCAGAGCAGGACACTGGAGGGGATGACCACATGCTGTTTTGACCTTAGCACCCCTACAAAGCCAGGGTGATGTGTGTATATGTCAATAAAGTTTATTTTTAAAATGCAGATCACTCACCAAAGGGGCTAGACACTAGGATGGCTGACATAGCACAGTGATCCCCCTAGAGAGAAAGCTGCTGAGGCTGGACCCTCCTCCCAGTGATGACCTAGAAACATCAGCTTTCCTCCACTGCCCTTCCCCAGCTCCACACTGCGACGGTCCACAGTGGAAACTACGAGTCACACCCTGCTGTAACAGGCATTCAAAACGAGTTGCCTATGTATTTATAGATCTATATTAACATCATTGATATTTATAAAGTTGGATGTGCAGGTATCTTGGGCACCTTAACAGAAGGGTTATCAGCTGGTGATCATCATTGCCGTACCAGGTGGAGCACTGGACTAAGCCGGGGGGATTGATTTATTTATAGTCTAGCTCGGTAGCAAGCATAGCTTTTATAAAAATAAAAGGCCAGTTACAGTGTGGCTCACGCCTGTAATTCCAGCACTTTAGGAGGCCAAGGCGGGTGGATCACCTGAGGTCAGGAGTTCAAGACTAGCCTGGCCAACATGGTGAAACCCCATCTCTACCAAAAATACAAAAATAAGCCAGGCGTGATGGCGCATGCCTGTAATCCCAGCTACTTGGGAGGCTGAGGCAGGAGAATCGCTTGAACCTGGGAGGCAGAGGTTACAGTGAGCCGAGATCACGCCACTGCACTCCAGCCTGGGCGACAGAGTGAGACTCCGTCTCAAATAAATAAATAAAATAAAGTTAGAGAAAGACTTGAGATCACAACAATAGCTAATAATAATTTCACACTCACCATGTGACAAGAATTTTTAAAATAGTTTTATATGTAGTGCCTCATATATTCTCTGAAACAACTCCATGAGGCATGATCTATTTTAGCTTTACAGGTTAAGAAACTGAGGCACAGAGAGGTTAAGTAACTTGCCCAAGCTGACAGCTGGCTAGACCAGAATTTCAGCGCTGGTTGTTTGCCCGGAGAACCTCTGCTCACAGCCTCGAGTCTCTGGCTCTGCCTGTGTCAACTGGAGAGATTAAGGACTACGGTGCTCGCTCGCACGCGCGCGCGCTCTCTCTGTGTGTGTGTGTGTATATATATATATATATATTTTTTTAGAGGTTGTCTCACTCTTGTCATCCAGGCTGGAGTATAATGGCATGATCTCGGCTCACTGCAACCTCCTCCTCCAGGTTCAAGCGATTCTCCTGCCTCAGCCTCCCAAGTAGCTGGGATTACAGGCGCCCGCCACCACGCCTGGCTAATTTTTGTATTTTTAGTAGAGATGGGATTTCACCACATTGGCCAGGCTGGTCTCAAACTCCTGACCTCAAGTGATCCACTAGCCTTGGCCTCCCAAAGTGCTGGGATTACAGGCGTGAGCCACCGCACCTGGCCAAAAATTTTTAACAATTTTATATATATATAAAAACTGGTGTAGTAGAGTCAGGCATATGATACATTTTATTTGTTGAGTTAAACAAATGTTTAAAAACCACCAAAGATTAGCATGAGGAAAAGGCTGGTCTCCTTCCCTGGAACCAGGATAAATCACTGAGGAAGTCAGAGGCAGGGCCAAGACTAAAATTCAAGTCACACAACAGTACTCTCTGAAAAATCTACATACTCCTATGATAAAGGTCTACTAAATTGTCCCGATATATCATCCCCTAATTTGTGGATATGTAAGCAACTGTGAAACATGTCTCTAACCTGGTGATTCACTGTGCCATAAGGCCCACTGCCAGTGAATAAGGTCAGCAATTACTCTTCCAGGATAATATCAAAAAAGTAAAGTTTTTTGAACTTGAATGCTGCCTGTTTGGGGTGAGAATAACGCGAAGTGAGTCAATGTTTCATATTTAGTAGGAATTAACTTATTTGCTGCTGATCAGACTTCCCTCTTTATGAGAAAAATTAGCCAATTTTTTTTTTAAATGAAAAGCTGGAGGTGGCTGGAGAGGTGATTAAGGATGTCTATCATGCTTTGCACAGGAGTAGGTTTGTATTTAAATTATAACAAAACCGGAGCCAAGGAGACATGCTAATTGGAAAGGTACTGATCTGAGGCAGGCAGGCCGTCCACAGGACTGCGGGCATAGCCCTCAGTGATTAATTACCTCTTAATCCCATCTAGTATCTGTTCAGGAAGAAGTAAGTAGTGTTCACAAGGAAATTCACTGACAGCCACGGAAGCTCTTGTCTGTTGTTTTTTAAATTTTCAACTCTTTTTTTTCCCCAAACCTATGGAACAACCCATATAGCCTTCACTTACATTCACCAATTTTGCCGTATCTGCTCTCTGTCGGTCTCTATCTGTCGTGTTTGCAGATATCATGATATTTCACCCTAAATCCTTCAGAACGATTTGCTGAGAACAATGAATGGCACCGGCTATCATACTTTCAATACAATGATCACCCTTGGGAAATTTAACATTGATCCAATACTATTATCCGGTATCACCATTCATGTTCACATTTCCCATTTTCCCCAATAACAACCTTTATAGTTGCTTTTTCTTTTCTGCCCATTATTCAAAGTTGTATATTGCATTAGTTGTTAATAATGAACATTTGACACTTTAAGCAACAACTTTTCTTTTTTTTTAAATTTTGGAGATGAATCTGCCTTAAGAGGTATTATTTCTAGACTGCACTGAAGGATTATAGCGGACACATTGACAATCCTCTCGAAGATGAGATGTCGTCGTGTAAGTGAATTCCAGCCGTGGGCTGCATGTAGTAATAGGAGAAATGGCTTGGGGGATGTTGAAGTCTTTGGTTTACTTTCAGTTATTTGCACTTGCCATGGACCTGTCACTTTTTTTCTGTAAACAACCTTTTATTCACATATGCCGAGGACCATTTCACGTCCTGAGGCCTAGAGAACCAGTCATCTGGCCATTTTTGAACAGTGAGTGATGTCACTGGAGGTGCGTGTGTAGAGGGAATGTCCATTAGCTGTAGTGGTGGTGGTGGGAGTGGGGTTGGGCGGAGACCTGAATACAGAGAAGGTTGTGGAAAACCTGGGAAGTGTCTGATGGAGTACGGAAGGCATTGGGAACAGGCTTGAGGGACAGGAGGCTGGAGGGAGGCGTGAAGTCCCGGGTGGGGACAAGCAGGGAGACGATGGATGCCGGGGATGCTCCAGAAAGGTCTGGGGGGCCATGGGATGGCCTACTGTAGAGCAGCACGGAAGCCACTGTAGAATGCTGGGCCAGGCAGATAAATCAGCCTTCACAGAGCAACTTGCCTAATCTGTCTCCGGCTGCCTGGCGTTGCAGCTTATGTATGTGCCCAGGTGCATCCAACACTTCCCATGGGATGGCACATAGTTATAACTAACCTTTATACATATGCCATTCATACAAGTGAGTCCGTCTCTGGCATCATTCCTGCATGTGGGTCAAAGGCTACGTGCATTTAGAATTTTTATGGATATCCACAAATTATCTGAATGGAAGCTATACTAATTTATTCTCCTACCAGCAAAGGAGAGAGCTTGTTTCTCTAGTCAAAATTATGCTATTAAACTTTTTTTTTTCCTGTTTTTTGAGACAGGGTCTCACTCTGTTGCCCAGGCTGGAGTGCAGTGGCACGATCACAACTCACTGCGGCCTCAAACTGTGGGACTCAAGTGACCCTCCTGCCTCAGCCTCCTGAGTAGCTTACAGGCACGTGCCACCGAGCCCAGCTACGTTTTTTAGAGACAGGGTCTGGCTATATTGTCCAGGCGGTATTAAACGTTTAAAAAAATCTTTGCTAATCTAATAAAAATGATCTCACTGCGACTTTGTTTTTTCTCTTATTACAGCATAGTTGAATAGCTTATATGCTTAAGAACCATTGAATTTCCTACAAACTGTCCATCCATATACTTTGCTCATTTTTCTATATACATATATATTTTTATTGGTTCACAAGAGTTTCACATACATGAGGGAAACGAGCCCTTTTGTGGTATCAATTTAAAATCATTTTCCCCGGGTCATCACTTATCTTTACGAATGGAGGTTTTTGCCAGGCAGCAATGAACTCTGAATGTGGGCGGCCAGGACTAAGGTGAAAAGTCTGTCCCTTCTCCGTCTCACGTTTTGTGATGGCACACACACTTGGTGGAGGGGGTCAAGAGAGGCGACACAGGCCCCCAGGGAAGAATGGAGAGCCAGGCCCGCGGCTGGCCCCGTGCTCACCCGTCGCGTGGCGGAGCCCGCCCGGCCCGACTCCCCTCCCGGCCCCTCGCGGGCACAGAGCTCGTGTCCCAGGGCCCCGCCGGCCAAATCCAGAGGTCACCGTGAATGGGGGCAAGTCCCAGGCCTGTTCTAGAGAAACACTCTACCCATCCACCGCCACCACTCCCCAACCCCGCAAGAAACGCGTCCGGGGAGAGGTGGAGGGAACTGCCTGCGAGCGTGGGCGGCGGGGCCGTGCCACGTGGGAGGGGGCCGCGCGCGGAATTCCCTCCGGCCAGTCCCGCCCCGCGCGCGCCCGCTGCCCAGTCCACGCAGCCCGCGCCCCGCAGTCCCACCCGCAGGACCCCCGGCCGCGCCAGCGTCTCGCCTGCGCCCCTCGCGCCCGGCCGCGGACTACAAGTCCCGCCATGCCCCGCCACCGCCCCCCGGCTTCCGGTGCTGCGCAGTTTCCGGAGCGGATCGCAACCCGGAGTCCGGATCCGATCCCGCTCTGCACATTCCAAAGGCAGGTAAAGCTCCGGGCCCTGCGCCCGCCGCCCGCCCCGGCGCGCGCCCCGCCGGCCCCGGTCCGCGCCCGCCACCCCCGCGAGCCCCGGCGCGCCCCGGGCCCGCCGCCCCCCGCCCCCCGCGCCCGGCAGTCGCGCGCCGCCCCGGTCCAGCCGCCATGCCGACTGTTCTTTGTTACATTCGCCGGCTGCGGGCACCGTTGGCGATCGGAGTCAAAACCCGGCTGGATTTCCCGGAGCCGCTCCGGGATCGCCCTGCGCGCCGCCCGCCCGCCGGGTCCCGCCGCCGCGGGCGCTCCTGGCCGGGCTCCGCGCCCCCGCCCCCGGCCTCGCGCCCCCCGCCTGCCCGCGGCCAGGCCCAGCGCGGGGCCGCGGGGCTGCCGGGCCCCGTTCGCCCGTGGGCGCGGCGCAGGGTCTCCGCCGCCCCCGGCCCGCGGCCCCCGCCCCCGGGCGGCCTCGTCGCCGAGGGCCCCGGGGATGTCGCTGTCCCCCGCCCTCGTGTACAATCCATGCGGGTGGCACGGGAGGGTCCCTGGACCCCCACCCCCGCGTTTAGAGAAGCTGAGTCCGGGTGATGGGGTCTCCCAGACCCTCTGCGCCTTGTTTTTTTAAAGGCTTTTGGTGGCAGAGAGAAGGTAGCGAGGTGGATGGACAGGTGACGCGTACCTGCCCGGGGTGGGTAGCCGTGCGGGGACGGGGCGTGCCCGGCCGCTCAGGTGAGGCCCGCCTCGCGCGGACAGGTGGGCACGGGGGCCACGTGCGGCCTCCGACGAGAGGGGCGGTGTTCACACAGGTGAAAACAGAAATGAAAACTCATGGAAATAAATACTTCTACCTGGTGGTTAGAGTTATCTCCCATTTACCTTTTTCTTAAGCTCCTAATGTAGTGGATGGGGTTTTTCCCCTACAAATGCTCAGAAATTGCCCCTCACCCCCAAGTCCCCAAAGGGAGTTTAAAACGGTAGAAACAAGTGTGTGATCAGAGACACGTGGACCTATGTGTGTATTTAAAGCTGCCAACACTTGTTTTAAAAAAGCCACATTGGCTTAAGCCAGATTCAAGTGAATTTGGAGAACCCAGCTTGGTTCCTGAAGGTGTTTTTAAGGGTGAGATGTAAAGGAGCCACTGCTTTTGTGATGAACCTTAAAAGGTAGCAATGACAGTTCTCCTTGGAGAATGCAGTGATGTAAACGCACTACCGTATTTTGTTTCAAGCTCGGACATTTTCACGTATTCCACGTTTTCACTGCTTCACTCCTTCCCCAGATTTCCTGACATCGCTGCCTCACGGTGAAGGATTAAGGAATAGTAGTTCTATAATTTAGATTTTCAAGAGGAAAAACACCAATTTGTTTTTATAGTTTTTCTTCTTATATCTGTGATTCATACTTTTTGCAGCAAAGTAGCCAGCAAAGAATAGACTATTATGTTCCATTTTGGAAGCAGGCAGGACGGTTATGTCTCCAGAAGACAAATAAATTTAAAAATCAACTGTAGTTGGAAGTCTGCTAGCTTGTCTTAGAATAATTATATTTGACAAAGGAGTCTGTTCACTTAGGATGTGGCTCATATCATTTTCGATGTCATTATCTGTGCAGAAGGCCGGGAAAGAACAGTCCTGCCATTTTGCAGATTGAAGGGAGATTTAAGGCAACTGTCTTCCACCCGTGTGCTCAGAGGCTGGGATGGTGCTCGGTGACTTAAATGCTTTTTCAGACTTTGTTCCTCATTTGCAAAGCGTGGATGGCCCTGCTCAGCTCCCCTCACAGTGCTGGTGTGTGCAGATACTCATTCATTCGGCCATTCATTCATTCTTTCCACCAGTGTTTACTGAGCACCTGTTACGTGCCCCACGCTGTAGTGAATGGAGAGGGGGCTGCACCTGGTGGACCTAATGTTCTGGGCAAGGGGGTGGGAGGTGGTATAGATAGAAAATCATAAAACTCTCAGGTAAGGGGGTGGGAAGAGCATGAAGAAAGGAAGGAGGGCAGGCAGGTGGCGGGCAGGGGTTGGGGTACTTGGGGGCTGGGACTAGAAGGGGCTGTCGGAGGAGGGGCCACAGTGGAGATAGTCCTGTGAGGGAGCCTCTGGTGGACGTGGGTGGGGTGGTGCCTGCCCCCACCAGGCAGATGTTGGCAAATGCTGAGGCCCTGGGGTGGGATGAGCCCAGGATGGGACAGACCACTGTGGCCGTGAAGGTGAGGCAGCAGGGGCCATGCACCAGGCAGAGGTTTTATTCTGAGTGCCTTGTGGATGCCACTGAGGGGCTTTGGGCAGTGGCGGGGCAGAGTCTGCATCTTTTGGCTGTGTGTGGGGAATGGAGTTGGCATCACTGGAATCCAGGCCCTGCATGATTCCACTCCACAGAACACGGAGGTAGAAGGGGAGATGGGGCAGGACAGAGCCTAGTTCCAGAGCCAGGCAGGCCTGCTGCTGGTTTGGTTGGGAAATGCATAGTGGGTAACTGGAACTGCTGTTTACTGAGGTGCAGCTGACAGCTGTGTCCTGGGTGTGGGGGTGACCTGAGGGAATCAGGGGCCCTGTAGACCGGACATCTTCAAACTCTCCCTCAGAGTGGGAGAAGCCCCTGCTCTGGGGCCACGTCCACTCCTCAAAAGGCTCCTCCTAAGGAAAGGTCCCTCCTCTTGCAGTCATGGCTGTTGGGCGTGGGAACTGCGGGGGAGTCCCAGCAGATTTAAGGGTGCTGGGGAATGGCTCCCCCGTGGGTCACAGGCCTGCAGCAGCTGCGGGAGCCTCTGCACCAGCGGTGTTCATGGTGATCGTTGATGACAAGTTGATCTTTGATGAATTCAGGCTCAGAATTCAAGAGGATATGTCATTGGGAGACTCTGCTGTGGCCAAGCCCCTTCTGCTCCCATCTCCTTATTTCTGGAGCCAGCTTCTCTGTGCTCACATTTCTAGAAAGAGGAATAAGGAGAGACGTGAGCATTTGTCCATGATACGTGAACTGATTAGGGGAAAAAAACTCTTTCTCTTCTATTAAACACAGCTTTTATGTTATAAGATGATTTACCAAAATGTAGACTATTTCTGTTTCGATCAGTGGTGTTCCAATTGTAGTCACACCGCAAAAAGGAGATTTGGTTCAATGGTGGACCACATATATGATGCTGGTCCTGTAAGATGATAGTACCACATTTTTACTGTACCTTTTCTATGTTTAGATAAGCAAATGCTTACTATTATATTACAGGTACCTACAGTATTCTGTTAGTTAAGTGCTGTACAGGTTTGTAGCGTAGGAGCCGTAGGCTGGGCCGTATAGCCTAGGCATGTAGTAGGCTATACCATCCAGGGTTGTGTATGTACACTCTATTATATTTGCACGACTACAAAATCCCATAGCAATGCATTTCTCAGAATATATTGCTGTCATTAAGCAACATGTGACTGTACTGCAGTGATAATTCAGGAGACGTTAGCACAACCCTATGGTTGTAGAAAATCAAGACAATTCAGTTTATATGCATGTTTGTGTTGCAGAAAGTTACAGGAGGGTGAATCAATACAGTAATTTCAAGCACGAATATATGACGTTGGGTTTACATTTTGTAGTAACACAAATAGGAGTTCCTAGAGGAAGAAGTGTATACTTTCTGGCCTTAAAGAAGAGCTTGCTCGTGTGCATTGTAAATAGATGACCGTGGCTGTCACGTTGTCATGCCTAGATTCTAATAGGTATGTTTACAAGAGTGACATGGCAGTTTTATTTTCAGTATTTACAGTATGCTGGAAATGATGTCCCTTGCAGCTGTTTGAAACAGGGATGAACAGTTTATACTGTCAGCTGAGATGCAGGGAGTAGCGTTTTAGGAAACATTTTCATGGGGATACTGGCAAAACTCGAAGAGCCTGGCTGCTCCTGGTTCCAGGCGTCAGGTGGAGCTACCGTCTGGGGCCTTGGGAGGGTGAGGGGCCGCCAGGATGCTGACTTGGGAGTTGGGGGTGGCAGGTAAGTGCTGCATCTAGAGGGAGGGAGGTCTAGGTAGCCAGCTTGGGGTACCCCCTGTGGAGGCTCTGGAGGGGAGGTACAGATAGCAGAGGGGCTTAGGAGGGAGCATGCAGTGAGAGGGACCCCCCAGGGCAGAAGGGGTTTCCAGAGGAGGCAATAAGGATGACTTAGGGTACAGAGGAACTTGGACTGGGCAGGGGCCCTGCTGAAGCCACTCATCCTACATGAATCCTGCTCAGAGTAGGAGAAGCCGAGGTCTGCACCCTGTCCTGGAGTCCTCCAAGCCTGTGGGGTCTGATGAGCACAGGCGGCTCAGCTCTTCCGTGCTTCCATACACTTACATAAAACTGGAGCTTGGCTTTCTCGGAGAAGATGCTTTTCTCTGCCTGAGATGCACCGTCTGTTACTGGCTCCGTTTGACCAACCTCCGTGTTCAGCATGGTCCAGGTCTCCGCTTGACAGCTCTGAGTGTTGACCTATTGCAAGCATCATCAGTAAACCTTGACTAAGCGACGTGGCTTGAGGCAAACTCATTGTGAGTCCAGGGTCCTTAATCTTTGATGTGGGTGGGGCCTGCAGGAAGTAACTGTGGTTGGACCTTAACTGCCCACTCACTGGACCAGAGTCTGCTTTTGAGAAGGGGTGTTTCAGGTGTCTCAACCCTCTGGGCTTCTGGTCTTTTGTAAGTTTCAAATTATGTGTATATATATATGCTACTTAGTTATAGTAGGTTTGTCTTTTATTGTGACCAAAACCATAAATGTTATTTTAGCACCACGTTAGGCAAGAGGTTAACAGGGTCCTTGTTCTGAGCAGGCCGCCTCAACTCTGACTGTTAGCTGGTCCTGTCATCTGGATTCCTCTTGTCTCCCTGGGTCCCTATCCCCCAGCACATCTGACTTCTCCAGGCTTTGCTCTCTGCCTATTCTCATTCTCTCTGCTTTTTAAAATATGCTAAACCAGCACTCACAGCCTTTCCACCATCCAAGCCCTCTAGGGTCACACAAGCCTCATCATTAAGTAGGAATC